ATTTAAGACCAAATTTGACTGTTTCTTCCCTTTAACTATTATTGGGTATTATTTCTTCTTGTTGTTCTAGAGCTTCGAGGCGTTTCATTAAATTATCAACATGACATGTCTCCAGTGTTTTGACATAGGGATTCAGTGCTATGAACTTGCCTTTTATACCAGCCTTCAGTGTGCTGTATAGGTTTAAGTCTGTTGTGATTTAAATTTTATTGAATTTTTAGAAAATGTTAAGCTTCTCTTTGATTTCATGAGGTAGCAAGCTGCTCAATTTCTTTGAGTTTGTGGATCCTGCTTTCTCTACTGTCATTGATATGTAGATTTACTAGGTGGGGTCAGGTAGAATTCAGGTGCTGTTTCAGTTTTACTAAACATGTTGAGACTTGTCTAGTGTTATAGTGTGTGGACATTTTGGGAAGAAGTTTTACGATTTTCTGGGAAGAAAGTATAATCTTTAGAGTTGGTGTGGAACATTTTATATGTCTGTTTAGTTCATTTAAAATTATAACATTATTTAACTCCAGTGTTGCTTTGTTTAACTTTTGTGTAGAGGACTCCTTCATTGGGAATAAAAGAGTAATGAAGTCACCAACTATTACTGTATGAGGACAGTATTCCTATATAGAATATAGAAACATTTCTTATATGAACTTCGGTGCGCTTGTGTTCGGTGCAAAAATATTTAGAATTGCAATATCTTCCTGGTAGTTTTTTTTTAAACGAGTATTTAGTGTCCTGTTCTTCTGACTAGCTTTTCATCTCTTTTCCTTTTCTGAAATCTATTTTGGCAGATACTAAATAGTTACACCGACCGGTTTCTGTGGTTCATTTGCTTGAAATAACTTTTTCTCTTGTTGATGTTGAGGTGTGTCCTTGGTGCAGAAGAAAGATGGATTATAATTTTGTTGTTTAATCCAGTCTCTTATTCAGTTGTTTTACTGGAAAATTGAAACTATCAATATTGAATTGAACGAAGAGCAGTGTTGTCGTTGTTTGTTTTCTCTTTTGATTTACTATTCTGGTATTATTTACTATTGTGTATTCTTGAGTGTGACTAACCTCTTCAGACTGAAAATTTTCTTCTAGTGCTTTCTAAGAGCTGTATTGGAACATATAAATCACTTAAATGTATATTTTTTGTGGAATGTGATCCTTTCTCTGTTGACTAAGGGTGATAGCTTTGATAGTGGAGTTTGCCATGACATCTCTGGTCTCTCAAGGCTGTAAAAGATCTCTCCAGTCCCTCCTGGATTCAAAGTCTCCATTGGGAAGCCCAGATTTATTGTGATAATCCTGCTTTTAATATTTCCTTTGACTGTGCTATCTAATCTTTACCTTGTTTTCAAGATATGAAATTCTCTTATATCTTTTAGTCTGCTGGTGGGACTTGTCTCTGAGATTTTTGTTTGACCTTGGAAATTTCAATGAAAAGCTTTGTAAGAAACAGTGACTTTTAAGAAACATTGAATTCATCTTTAGTTATAAGGGGGAGTGATAAAAGGTGAAGCTTTGGAAAATGCTCTACAAACCAGCAGTTTGACTCAGGGCTATGAATTCCAGAGGAACGAACACTAATGAGACCTGGAAGGTCTGTAGAGTCTAACAGACAGTAAATAATGCATATTCAAGTATTTGAATCACTAAGATGGTAAGAAACATGTCTTAGTCTTGGAGGCAAATTTGAGCCTTACTCTGTGCAGTATTCTAGGCTGAGAGGAAAACCAGTCACTAAGGCATTCACTAGAGTGAAGATGTGCTCACCTTTCAGGTGCGCTGGTCTGTGTTATGAAAGACCTCCACTTTCCAGAAGCCTGGGAATCACGAATGGCATCCTGGTGCAAAGCAAAAGTACTGTGACTCTAGTACAGTAATTTTCACCCTGGTGCTCCACTGTCCTGTGCAGGTGGCAGCTGCTCGGAATGCCAATCATAAGATCAGTTGTTGGCTCTGAGGAGGTTCAGTGACCTGGCATTTTCACCTGTCCAATTTCAAGGGATAGGTTTTCATGAGGCACTATTACAGCTGCTTCTGAAGCTTGCTCAAAGAAGGTGAGGATACCTTTGTGGCAGGCCTGGCTTTAAGCTTTCTAAAGGACAGCTACTTTAAACAAAGCCAGTCTGAGGACATTGCAGCCAGTCCTGAGACCTGATAAGCTAAGGTCACATGGAAGGGGAGGAGGTTCTCCCCTATTAGTGGACTTGAAAAGGGGCAGGGAGGAATGGTGGAATTGGGAGAGAATGAGGGAGGGGGTTACGGCTGGGATACAAAGTAAATAACCTGTGATTAATATAAAAAAATAAAAATTATAAAAAAAGAAAAGAAACCGAACACTATATATCCAAGTAAAAGAAGAATGAGATCAGGTAGAACAACCTCTAGGCAACCCAGTGCTGGCATTGTGATGTCTTCCTGTACTTTCTGGTATGTCCAGAGGCCTGAAAAAAAGAAAAGCAACATGAAAGCTGAGAGGCAACAGGGAATGGGTACCAAATCTTGTCTGACCGTAGGACCTCCTCTCACTGTCAATTATCAATCAAGATATTTTCTTTTACATTCTTTAGTTCTATTGAAAGAAATCAGTCTTTTAAAAATATGAAATATCAATACATGAGGGAAAAGCCATTATCATGTGTATATTGTTAATCATCCTCAGTGGAGTAAAGTTTACAAAATAAACTCTCCTGGCATTTTAAAAAATGGGAAAAAAACTATACAATTTTAATAACTGCATTTACAGTATCACCAAACTAGAGGCAACCGCAAATAATTCGAAAGTGAAATTATTAAACAAAGAATAGTGTAAAAGAATATGTTACATAGGCATGATGAATATCTGATTTTCTGTAACAGAATCTCCAATGACATGCAGTAATTTGAATCATTGAGAGAGCATAGTAAGAACGTCTTTGTAAGTAGTGGGATTGTCCTGATCTTACACGTATCAATATTAACATCCTGGGCTTATAGTCAGATATGATTTGGTCCCATGGTCTCAAAGACTAACAGGCTAAAAGAATGGCTCCCAGTGTATCGATACTGAAGGGTGGTGACACCTGGGAGTGCTGCCCTCAGAAAATAATAAGGTTGTTTTTCTGGATCCCATGTCAAGCTTAATATGAATGTTATTTTTCAGAGATCAAGATTCGTTCCTGCTTGCTCTGTCTGGCTTCCCATCTTCTCATGTACTCTCACAAATTCCCATCCCATGACGACACCTTACTGTGATGTGACATTATCAAGACTACCTTTATTAGATGTCAAGCTGCTTAGGCCAATATCACTCACCATGCCAGCAATCACAACAGGAATTAATAAATGATAAGCTAGTGAACCCGGTTGTAAGAGTGCAGTAGAGCTCGGGGGTAAGGTTTACTATTGGTTTGAATCACTGTATGTACTGGAAGATTCTGTGTTAGTCCTTACAACTGTTGGAAATCTCAGATTTCCTCAAACATCATTTTTCTCAAGCTGAAAGTGAAGGGAAATGAAGTAAATGTGACACATCGTCAGTTACAGCATGAAACTTAGAGCCGTGACTTCACCTTGGTCTGTCACCCTGACGACCATAGAATTCTCAAACATCGGCAGTTGGCCTTCCAACTGCAGTTAGCAGCATCGGTGTTAGCGCCAAGGATGAAAGGGGGAGTTTCACGCCACTGAAAGGCTATCCATTCCAGGATCTCCTGGGAAGGTATTCTTTCACAACCTATATTCACCCTTAGGAGAAACTGGTGGTGTCAGGAAGTGCTTTTATCTGTCCCCTCCAGATGATGTGAACTAATCCTTACCATCAGCACTGGCCTCATGGAATGTAACTCCTGTTAATAACGTTTAGTGCAGCTCACCTCAGGAAAGCAACCTTTCTACTGTCAGGGAAGACATGCTCAAGGCTACATGGCAGATAAATACCTAGGGAAATGTCTCAGTTATGAGAGGTGTTTTATGATCTATTCAACCTAGTAGTTTTACCCTGTTGTGACAATACACCCTTGTTGGAAAGAGATAAGATTTCAAGGAAATATATTAAAAGATCTTTTGTTTTCAGCAATTGGTGTTCCCAATGTTGCTTGATTTTCTTAATAACTACTTCCAAAAACATAATACTGTTTTACTTAAGACGAACTTGAACTTGTAGTAATCCTCACTTATGTAGATTGCCATAAAACATGAAACCAAGTTTCAAGTTGTAGAAATTTGAACTATTTCAAATCGTAATATTTCATAATCATTCTGTCAGTACTTGTGTGTAAACAACCACTGTCTTGTGTCCTCTTTTGCCTTTTTAGTTCCCCTGGTTATCCATTACTTAACTGACAAAAGCTACTGACTGCCTCTATCTGTCTCCTTTGAAAGGGGAAGCATGTGACTGGGCAGAGTAAACACTGCTAATGTAAATATAATTTTTAAAGTTTAATTAGACAAAAATCATCAGAAAATGTGGTTTTTATTTCCTTTAGAACTATTTAAGATTGTCTACAGAGTAATTGCTCTCATTGTGGTATTTTTGATACGTAGAACTTATTTTGTTATTTAACCCCAGCCAACATATCAGACAATTTAAATCAGAGTTAATTCAAAGGGAATCATTCTGTAGAAATTTAAATTTTAGTAGAGTCTTGTTACTTTTCTTAATTTAACTGTCAACAGATCAGTAAATACACACAATTCTCAGATTGGACAATATGTCACATCACCAGACTACACACTTAAAGACACACTGCATAGAAAGGAAGGTCTTCCAAGTAATGCTTTTCACTTTGGTACTTTGATACATAGATCTAATTTTATTTTACTTTTATTGACCTCCATTCTAAACACACACACACACACACACACACACACACACACACACACTCCTGGAGACCCGCTTTAGCAATTGAGACTACTTTTTAATAACATGCCTGCCACCCTTTAAACAGCATAAAAATGTATCCTATAAATTAACTACTGGCTATGTGTTCTGTTAGTGTTTAACCTGCTCGGGGAAAAGCCTTTCTTCTGGGATGGAGACCTTCAATGAGAAAGAAAACTTATTAGATGTCATACAGCAAACCTTGCTACCCCAACGCCCTGTCCAGATCAGAAGAAGCTGGAGAAAGAAGCATGACATTTTCTTGTTCAGTGGTGTTTTGGTCGTGTCTAACAACGTGTATGTACTTTACTTGTGTAATCATTTTCTCTTTAGGAAAGGCTGCCATCTCACCAAGTCCTTATGATACAAAAATATAAAGGTGTTTTTACTTTTTTGTTTTGGCAAGTAATTTGTCTTTACTTATCAAACAAAAATTAGTGAAAGATTTTTCTGCCCTCACTCCTTACAGAATACAATCAAAGTTAAAGGAAAAGAAACAGGCATAGTGGTGCATGCCAGTAATTCTACCACAATTCTGACTAATTGAGGAAAAATTGGAAGTCAGGAACTCATTACTGACATAGCAGGTTTTTTTTTTCTCAAAATTAAACATTTTAAAGTATGTCTTACAAGGGTCATCTTGATGTACGTATCTGAATATAAATGTTCATTGTGTGGAAATACATGTCACTATCCTGGCAACAATATCATGCAATTTCTTCTTTAGCTCTCAAAATGGAGAACAAACCTAGTATAAAAGATAACAGCTCTAGGAAGGAAAGCAAGAGAAATAAAGATGAATTCCTCCACAGACTTCTTGCCAGTAGGAACTATGAGGGCTGGGTGAACACACAAAACCCTGCCATTCTGAGCTGTGGTTAGCTTTTGGGTTGCCTGAGTTACAATCCAGGCTATTGCTTTAGCCTATTAAATATTCTCAGAGTTGCTTCAACTAAAAAGTAGGTCTAGAGCAAATTAGTTGATATAATTATTTGAGGAATGCAGGAAACATTAGCCTTGGACTGTATAAAATATTTCTTAGCATGTGGCTGCTGCTAAGAAGTAGTATGGGATGGGATATCTCCTCCTTGTTTTTTTTTTAATTATTTTTTATTTTTTATATTAATTATATTTTATTCACTTTGTATCCCAGCTGTAGTTCCCTCTCTACTCCCCTCCCAATCCCTCTCTCATCTCCTTCTATACCCCTCACTAAGTCCACTGATAGGGGAGGTCCTCCTCCCCTTCCATCTGACCCTAACTTACCAGGTCTCATCAGAACTGGCTGCAATGTTCTCATCTGTGACCTGGCAAGGCTGGTGGCCGTCAAAGAGCTAGCCACTGAGTTCATGTCAGAGACAGTCCCTGTTCCCCTTACTAGGGAACCCACTTGCATACTGAGCTGCCGTGGGCTACATCTGAGCAGGGGTTATAGGTTGCATACATGAATGGTCCTTGGTTGGAGTATCAGTCTCAGAAAAGACCAATGGGCCCAAGTTTTTTGATTGCCCTCCTTGTGGAGCTCCTGTCCTCTCCAGGTCTTACTATCTCCCCCTCCTTTCATAACATTCCCTGCACTATGCCCAAAGTTTGGTTATGAGTCTCAGTATCTGCTTTGATACAATACTAGGTAGAGTCTTTCAGAGGCCATCTGTGGTAGGCTCCTGTCTTGTTTCCTGTTTTCTTCTTCTTCCAATGTCCGTCCCATTTGCCTTTCTGAATGAGGATTGATCATCTTACCCAGGGTCCTACTTCTAGCCCACCTTCTTTAGGTGTACAGATTTTTGAAAGATTTATCCTATATTATATGTCTAGTATCGACTTATAAGTAAGTATATACCGTGTGTGTCTTTCTGTTTCTGGGATACCTCACTCAGGATATTTTCTAGTTCCCACCATTTGCCTGCAAATTTCATGATTTTTCTTATTTACACAATGGAATACTACTCAGCAATTAAAAACAGGGAAATCCTCCTTGCTTTTATATAACTTTCCTAGTTTGGCTTTAAGTAAAAAAGGACATCTCAGATGTTCATCAAATAATGGGGAGAATTGTTGAAATGGATTTTCTAGATTCACACATGTGGAATAGGCTAAAATATTTGTATTTTAAATACCAGACAGTCTCTGGCTTTTTGAGATAATGGGGAAAAGGTACATTTAATTTGGACCTGATTCAAGCTTTCTTTGCCAAAAGCTTTGCTGAGACGCATCTACCATGAGCTGTGCCTGGATGATAGAGATAGATGAATCCTCCTCTGCTCTGTTGCTGGAAGAACTGGTTTTTGTACTGAGCAATTACACCTACATTGAAAAAAAAAAAAAAAAAACAAAAACAAAAACCAAACTAACAGAGCTACTTGATTCACTTCCTAGGTATAAGAAGAAATTTAGGATAAAACATATCATCCCACTGCATTATGTGCGGCTGTATGACTGTGTGAGGACAGAACACAATGCTTCCTCTGTGTCCATCTTCCTGTTTTGGCCTATGTTAAAATATGATGTCACCTTTAGGTAAGACCTAAAGATTGGACCTGATTTTGCATGCTGTGGGCTGTGGAAATCCAGGGTGAACTTCAAACTATCTAGCGCACATGGAAAAATACAGATTTCTCAAGAAGTCTCAAAAATTAAGAATTCATTTTAATTCGGTTAATCATTGGCTGTTGACTTAAGCTTTCTTAGCTTGGGTTGACTTCCCCCCCCCCTTGTACTTTCCATCACGTGGGTTTCTGTTTCTTAATGTGTGTAAATGTATCAATAGTGGAACAGACTGGAAGAGGATCCTTTTATTTCCATCAGTGTGGTTTCAACACAATCCTCCACACCAGTGTGGAGATGGGGGCTGTTTAGGTTCTGTCAAGCTAAGGGGCCTTGCAAGGATTATACTTTGCTAGCACTAATCCTCTCTCCATAAGGGTCTGGTACTCTCTGAACGGTAAAGCTATGTGAGTTTATCTTTTATTTCCCAGTGATGTTGGGTAGTCTAATTTAGTTTGACAAGTTCATTTTTATTTCCAAATGGATTTTCTAAAGAATTGGATTGAATTATGCAAATAATTATATCACCAACCATTCAAACCCTTGAATGTTTGTGCAGCAGCTTATCAAGTTTGTCAGACAGGGTAACACGTGGTTTTTGCTGTGCAGGTGAGTTTTTCAACATGCATTCTTAGACAGCACGAAGAAAGGGATTTTAGTTGTGGATCCAGAACCCCCCGACTGGATTGAATGGATGTAAACTGACTGTGTAACCACATCTGTCTCTGTGTTTCAAGCGCTCACCCGCATACATACTTCCCATGTGTGTAAAGTGCATGCAGTACTCCCCTTTCCTCACTCCTCTACCCAAACCTCCAGTGTCAGCACAGAGCTGGCTCAGCCAGCACATATACCCCAGAGTTTAGTGAACTTTGAAGATTCTTTGATCCTGTACATAACAAAGGGAATCCATTTTCAGACTATTTGGGAAAGAAGTTCATATTTATGGCATTCTCTTCATAGAATTTTAAAAATCCATTGGTGAATTTATTTGGGGCTTATCCAACATTACCTTTTGTTACAGGCTGCATATGAGAGGAAATATTTTTAGTTAAGGAAAAGTTTTTAGTTAAGTGAGATGTCCCTTGACATCATTTCCATGAATTTTTTTAATGAGGGAGGTTAAGTGTGGGATTATTCTACACAATTTAATATCATTTGCATTCAACTAAATATGTCCCAAGCATTTTCAACCATGAGTATCACCACATGCCTTTGTGGTTTCTGCTATGTTTCTTTTGTAATTGGTGTCACCAGATGTGCTGTCCAGGTGCACATAGAGGCCATAGGCTTTGCCAACACTTCTGGCATTTCCGGTTGCAAACACAATGTATGCGGGAAGTGTGATAGCAGTTAGTGGTAGAAAGATGAAGAGGCCATTCCTTGAGGAAGAAGCTGTCCATGGTCCCATGGGGAGTTACATGGGATCTCCATGAAACTCTGCAGCCCTAGTCAGGGTGTAGAACCACAGGAAAACAGAGATCAAACATCTGTGCATGAATATTCTTAGAAGCATGAGTCATGATGTTCAAAAAGCTGGAAACATGTCAAATATTGAAACAATATATAAACAACAAAATGTCCCAGGGTGTGAACAAGGAGAATAATGAGAGTTGTGAATGGGCTTAGGGTTTGTTGTTTGAATAAGGAAAACATTCTTCAACAAAATAATGTTGAGGACTACATGGCGCTGTGCATGTGACCTATGCTACTGATGGAAACATGCCACCTGTAACTTAGGAAAGTTTCAGAAATGATAATGAGTGGTACATCCATTTTAGCCCTTTTAATTATAGATTTAAATGCTACAGTGAAAAAAAAAGAAAGCTTATTAGGAAATATCATACCAGTTTGGAATTAGGAATTAAAAATTAGGAATTGGCTTACCAATTCAATTACCAAATGTATTGATCATGAATAGACGCATAGAAATGAAAGACCAGTTTTGCATGAACTAATTTCACACTTCAATTCTGTAATTCATATGAAAAAAAAAATGTGACAAGATTCTTTTCCCTCATTGGTCTCCTTTAAGATCTAACTGTACTTTATCTAAATTGTCAATTGTTTTACATGTGATTGAATGTGAATAATGGCATCATTCTATGTAAACCAAGCCTGAAGTTATTTATACCTATGAAACTTAACTTAGAGCAGTTGCTTAGCACAGCCATAATAGCAGAGCTATGGTCAAGTAGTTACAGTAAGGTCTTTAAATTTCTGACCAGCCTCCACTCTAGTCAACTTCCTGTCTTCTATGATTAACAATTTAGAGTTTGCCTCTGCTTCAATACCTCGATCAGTAGACTATTAGCCAAACTTTGGTAAGAGTGCATAGAATCTTATGAAAGAAGGGGAAGATAGAAAGAACTGGAGGGGACAGGAGCTCCAAAAGGAGAACAACAGAGCCAAAAAAAAAAAAAAAAAGAAAAAGAAAACCTGAGGCCTTGGGGGCATGGAAGAGAATGATACCCCAACCAAGGACCATGCATGGAGATAACCTAATACCCCTGTACAGATGTAGCCCATAGATTCAGTCTCCAAGTGGGTCCATTGTAAGGTGAACAGGGGCTTTCTCTGGCATGAACACAGTAGCAAGCTCTCTGATCATCCCCCTGGGGGGAGGGGGTACAGCCTTCTAGTCCACAGAGGAAAACAATGCAGCCAGTCCTCATGAGACCTGATAGGCTAGGGTCAGACAGAGGGGAGGAGGTCCTCCACTATCAGTGGACTAGGGGAAAGGCACAGGGGGAGTAAGAGAAAGGGTGGGATTGGGAGGAGACAAGTGAGGAGAGCCACAGCCGGGATACAAAGTGAATAAGTTTTAATAAATAATAAACAAAAAATAAAATAAAACATACAACACAAAAATAAAATAAAAGCAACAAAAGCAAAAAAAAAAAAAAAAAAAAAGATCAGTTCAGGAATAGGTCAAGAAAAATCCCAGTTTTCAGAGAAAGCAAAACCTGTACCTCATTGGTGAAAACTGGCTTATAACATCTTTATAAGGGATGATCTTAAAACTCGTAGCATAATAACCTCCTGCATTTTAATTTTGTTTCCCTTTTTATATTTCAGTTCCCCGGAGCAGAAAAAATGGTGGTGCTTTTTGCTCCAAAGGTATTTTCCAATGTTCATATATTAATTCCGAAGTGATGAAGGAATAGCATTTTCTGAAAATCAGTGATTCCAGAACATTACCCCTTTTCTTTTTCATTCTTTTTTTAATTTTTAAAATTTTTATTATTAGTTACATTTTATTAAATCCGTATCCCAGCTGTATTCTGCTCCTTCATTCCCTCCCAATCCCACCCTCCCTCTCTCATCTCTTTCCTGCCCCTTTCCAAGTCCACTGATAGGGAAGGACCTCCTCCCCTTTCATCTGACCCTGTTTTATCAGGTATCTTCAGGACTGGCTGCAAAGTCCTCCTCTGTGGCCTAGAGGACTGCTCCTCTCTTGGGGGGTGGGGAGTCAAAGAGACAGCCATTGAGTTCATGTCAGAGATAGTCTTTGTTCCCCTTACTATGGGAAACCAATTGGTTACTGAGCTACCACGGGCTACATCCCAGCAGAGGTTCTAGGTTATATCCATACCTGGTCCTTGGTGGAGTATCAGTCTCAGAAAAGACCCCTGTGCCCAGATATATTTGGTCCTCCTGGAGCTCCAATTTTTTCCATGTCATACTAACTCCCCCTTTTTTCATATGATTCCCTGCACTCTGCCAAAGGTTTGGTTATGAGTCTCAGCATCTACTTTGATACACTGCTAGGTAGAGTCTTTCAGGGCCTTCTGTGGTAGGCTCCTCTCCTGTTACTTGTTTTCTCCTATGTCCAATGCACATCCCATTTGTCTTTCTAAGTAAGGGTTGGTCATCTTGAGTAGGTGTTGTTTGGTTGCTGCTATCTGTTCTCTAGTTAAAATGAATAATTTATTTTTGAGGATGTTCTGGTTGCCATGATCACCATTTTCTTCTCTGTAACCTACATATTGGAATGAAGAGTTCTTACCAGAAATACATTAAATTCCTCTCAGTATAGATTATACTACCATGGACATTCACAACATCAGATGCTTAACATTATAGAAATCAAGAAAGCTTTTGTCTCTTTCCACGAATGGCAAAACTTTTCTTGTCAGGATTTGCTTCCTAAAATCATATCTCATGGCAATGTTCTGTATTTCAAACCCTCTCTTTTTGATGGAATATTTTTGCATATTTCCCAATCCATACTTCATATTGAGTTAATACAGTTGTATTAACAAGATAACAGATGAAAATATTAACAATGGTTCACTTGAAAATAAGCCTTTGAAAACGAAGCTTTGCTTTACTGTATTGAGTGTTTTGTTTTGTTTTTTTTCTTTTGAGCAGGTACATTGATGAAGCCAAGAAGAGGGTCGAGAATAAAAATTCTGCACTGCAGATAATCACTGAGGACACCGGAAACTGTACCAGTGCATGTGCATGTAAGACCAAAACAGACACTCAGAGTTCCTGACTGAGGGAGCAAGGTAGACAGGATGCAAAGAAAGGCAGAATGAAGAGGAGTAGGGTGGGGAAGAGCGGCAAAAAAGAGTGAACAGGAGAAGGGGAGAGAGAGATTTTAGACAGTACTGTGTGGGAAATATATATGTGTATGTCATGCATGCATGTATGTCTTTCTGCATGTGAAAAGTAGTAGGCAATATGAATGAAGAATAAGTTGAGTTAGCAACAGTTCCTAAACTTAAAATAAGTCATTCGTAGTAAGTGATTTTACATTGCTGTAGAATTTAGTTTCCAATGAAAATATTGGAAATTTTTCTTTCTTTCTAAGATTAAAATATATTGTGTAGTCAGGCATAATTATAAATTTACAATAGGTTAAATAAGACAGTGAGACTACCATATACAGTCTTTACATATTTACCTGGTTGGTGACATTTTCTACTTCTGCTTTGACTTCTGCCCTTTCTTGCACTTTGACTCTCATTTGTTTACCTGCTTTTGAAGATTAGCCTCATGACGATGGCTCTTTATCCTCATCTCCTTGTGAATTTCATAGGCATAAGGCTGTCTTTTTATGTAACTACCATTTGTGTGTATGTATACGTGTGTGTCAAGAGAATGTAAGACATGTATCTTCTATATGTGTCTGTAGATATAAGAGGGCAAAAGCCAGTTTGGATTGATATTTCTGTTCATATATGTTGTAGGGTCATCAGGCTTTGTGAGAGATGTTTTATCTGCTGAATGCTGTCCTTGGCCAGAAAAACTTTTCTAACCACATTCCAAGTAGATGCTTAGCATGGTTTCTTATTGGTTATTTTTTGACAAGAGATCACCACTGCTTTTGGATTCTATGCTTTTTGTTTATTATTAGGTCACATCAAGTCAGGGTCAGGTGACGTCTTAGTAAAGAATATTTGCTTGGGATGTGGTATTTTTCCAGAAAGAAGCCTTAGCACTACATTACTCTCTCTCTCTCTCTCTCTCTCTCTCTCTCTCTCTCTCACACACACACACACACACACACACACACACACACACACATGCCTGTGCATGCACACTCTTAAGGGGCTGGGAGAAAAAGAGGGTGGGGAGACAAAGACAGAGACAAAGCAAGAGATAGACAGAGAGAGAGAGAGAGAGAGACAGTAAGAGATTGGATTTACCATTTTATGCTAACCCAGACTTCCTTTTCTTTTTTTTTTTTTCTCCTTAAAAATCACACCTACAGAGACTCCTACTGCTGTCTTTGCCCAATCTGGAGGAAGACTCTCACTTGTTCCCTCCACAGTAAATAAAACATCCTTTGTGTTCAGAATTTGTTTTGTGTCTACTCAGGGGGTCCCTAAATTCAGTGCCATGACACAGATTATGAAAGAACCAGAACTGACCCAGTTTTGCAATTTCCAGACCATCCCACCCAACAGAGAGTGTAATTGGTGAGTTTTCCCTTACTAGCCATCCCAGAAAACTGGGCAATAACCCTTCAGTGTCTGACATCCACAATCTGCCTTGTGGGAATGGGGAGAACAGCCCTGACCATGGCCTTGGGAGGCCATTGTAGACTCCCTTGAATGGCTGGAAGGCACATTCCATTCAATTTGGCTTGGCTACAGATTTTCATTTAGTTTTTGGAGGCTGCTCTGATGGAAATCAGAGTCTGTTCTAAACCGTCCAAAAATCCTATCACAGGTGCCTGGATTGCAACTCTGATTTTACCTGATTGTGACCAAGCTTGGGTGATGATTCCTTCTTCCCAGATACCTCCTGATTGGCCACCCTATACCTTTAGGGATACCCTTGGCTTTTGACCTTCGCTCCCAGCCACCATTAGCAAAGGTATTCACTCTTTCAGTCTCTAATGCTATGCTTCTGGGTTGTCTTCTTAAGACTCCAACTCACACCTGATTCAACAATGGTCCTTATAGAAGAAGAAGAAGGAGAAGGAGGAGGAGGAAGAAGAGGAAAGAAAGAAAGAAAAATAAAGAAAAAAAATGAAAAGAAAAAGAAAAGAACACAGCTGGGCTCCAAAGTGAATAAACTATTAATAATAATAATAATAATAATAATAATAATAATAATAATAATAATAATAATAAATGCAAGAAAAGAATGAAGAAAATAGGCAGTATTTACAATTGTGGACAAAGAAACACGGCTTCCCTCTCCAATGATAACTATGTTTCTGCCTTCTACCTCAGCACCAAGCCATCCCCTTATACTTTGCTTCCTGCCTCCGGTTCTATTGACTATCAGAACTTCCACTGCCACTGTTGCCACAAAGCAGCTCTAGGAGCCCACGATGGCTTTCCTGGCCTCACTGCACCTGTTGCTAACTGCCATAGCTCAGCTCTGGAGCTCACTACTCCAAGAGCTCAGGAAGCTTGCTGCTGCTTTGCAGCTGCTTCTCCTTCCTCTCACCCTAAAGCCAAACTTTACTTTCCACTTTTGATGCCCTGGATGAACACCTTCCCTATGCTTGTCAGCCACCTCTCCTGCTCCTCCCAGTCCCTTCTGCTCCCTCCTCCTCTCATGGCCTCTCAAGCTCGGGTTCATGTTCAGTCTGGACTCTCCCAAATGTCCCTGCCTCTAATATGTTCTCCTGCTCGCCTGCTGCTTTTCTGGCCAATCCACTCCTAGTGCACCGACTCTCCGCAGTTCATCCAGGGAGAGGTCAATACTCACTCTTGGCTTACAGTAGCCCTCGCCAACTGCCACTACACAAATGATCCACAAAATCTCTCATACCTTGTTCTGTTCTACACTTCCAAAAGTCTCACCTCCACTGTCAAATCGTAAAAATCATGTACTAACTTATGAACTGGTATGTAATTCATTTAATGACAAACTTTATTTACCCTCCTGTATGTGTTTTCAAGGTTAATCCTAAAATTTGTTATGCTTAGGTAGGTAGGTGCTTCTCAAATTCTTCAGTCCTGAATTTATTCTTAAATATTTAAAATGTTTAAGCATCCTGTTTTACAGAGAAACACCAACTCCTAACAGAAACCTTAGGATCTCCAAAGAAGACAGATGGGGCAAAACAGCTCCTACTTAATTGTGGTAATGTTAACAACTGGGAAAAACTGCTCCAAACCTCTCCTGCTGACAGGGCTCTGCTCAAACTGTGTACACGTTTGGGCTGATTTGCCCTATTCTGCTCTGTAAGGGTAGGATTAGTTTTATGACTTCTTCTACAGGAAAAAAAAAATCAGATCTGTGTCTGACAGTGAAAGAATAAAGATGTGTGTTTGGCAATTAACGATTAAATATTGTCTTATATGACAGCTAAAGACATATCTCCAACTGTCCAGCCATGGACACCACTAGAGCCTAAGGCAACTATCTAGATAATGGGAAAGTCTCTGTCTTTTCAAATGACACATAGGCCATTTGGATCATCCCTCCTGTTGTAATTTACCTCTCTCAGATCTCTGATATTAACTGGCCTGACTAAACCAAACTAATCACCCTCCAGAAGCCTGAGGTCTTGTTTCGTGTGTCAGGTCACCTCATCACATTCTCCTAAGAGACTATGGCCATTTTCCTGCTCACTCTCCCACCTCCTCCATAGTCAGAATTCACACCAGTCTTTTGGACTCCTCCAAGACTTTTCCCTTAACTTGCTCCTTCAAAGGTCTTTCCTTTTCTCACCATTTTCTCTTTATTACCTCATACCTTATTCCCTTACTACGAAGCAATATTCTTCCCAAAATTGGCCTGAATTTTGTCTTCTACCTCAACAATAGCTCCCATGTCACCTCTGTGCTGCTCTTTCTTCTTTGCTGTCTTAGTTATGGTTTTATTGCTGTGACTAAACATCATGATCACATCTCTTAAAATGAAAAACATTTAATTGGGGTTGGCTTACAGTTTCAGAGGTTTAGTCCATTATTGTCATTGCAAGAAACATGGCAGAGTGCAAGCAGACAGGGTGCTGGAGAAAAAGCTGAGAGGTTTGCAGGAAGTGAACTGAGACACACTTCTTCCAACAAGGCCACACCTATTCCAACATGGCCATGCCATGGGCTATGAGCTTATGGGAGCCATTTTTTTTTCAAACCACCATAGTTTCCATTTGCACACTCTCTCACTTTGCAAATTTCCAAACAACAAGGAGGAGCCTAGGGAAGATCCTTATTTCTCATTCAGAAAGGAAAACAGGATAGACACCAAAAGTGGTAGAAAAGAGGGAACAGGATGGAAGCTTACCACAGATGTCCCTCCTCTAAAAGACCCCACCCAGCAAGGGATCAAAGCAGATACAGAGACTCACATCTAAAGGTTGGTCAGAGCTCATGGAGTCTTATGGAGGAAGGGGAATATGGAAGGGCCCGGAGGGGACAGGAGCTTTGCAAGGAGACCAACAAAGCCCAAAAGTTGGGCCAGGGTGGGGCTGCAGAGATTGATGCATCAATAAAAGATCAGGCATAGAGAGGACCTCCATAGGTCCCCTGCTCAGATCTAGCCCCTAAAAAAGTGTTTTAAGGTCTGAGGATAGGAAAACTTTAAGTTTGAGGGTCTGAGAAAGTGATTCAAGGGTATGCAAATACAGTTTTAAAATTAAAAAAAATGATTCAAGGTATATGAAAAATGTTTCAAATTTCTTTTCCTCTCTCTGTACTTTTATGTTATGACTTCAAAACTTCAGAATTTTACCATTACTAGAGTTCTCCTAAGCCTTGAATCTAGGCCAGATAGAACACAATTACCGCTATCATACCCGGAAGCTTAAGAATTTGAATTTCCTTTGGTTGTTTTCTAAGTATAGATTTAAAGTGCCTCTCATTATCTATAAATATCTTTTGTCTAATTTATTTGTGTGTGTGTGTGTGTGTGTAGATAATGTTATTTTTTAAATTTAATTTTATTTTATTAATTACCCTTTATTCACTTTTTATCTCCCTCATAAGCCCCTCTCTCCTCCCCTCCCGGTCGGTCCCGCCCTCCCTCTCCTTTCTTCACAAATGCCCCCCCCAAGTCCACTGATAGGGGAGGTCCTCCTCTCCTTCCTTCTGATCTTAGTCTACACATCAGGAGTGGCTGCATTGTCATCTTCTGTGACCTGGTAAGGCTCAGGGGGAGGTGATCAAAGAACAGGCCAATCAGTTTATGTCAGAGGCAGTTCCTCTTCCCATTACTATATAATCCACTTGGACACTAAACTGCCATGGGCTACATCTGAGCAGAGGTTCTAGGTTATCTCCATGCCTGGTACTTGGTTGGAGTATGAGTCTCTGGGAAGACCCTTGTGTTCAAATTTTCTGGTTCTATTTCTTTCCTTGTGGGGTTCCTGTCCTCTCCAGATCTTACTATTTCCCACTTCTTACCTAAGATTCCCTGCCCATTGCACAACAGTTGACCTTAAGTCTCAGCGTCTGCTTTGATAGTCTACAGGGAAGAGCCTTTCAGAGGCCCTCTCTGGCAGGTTCCTACACAATTTTCTTCATCGATTCCAGTTACCAAAATTAAGTCAAGATTCTGTAGAAAGATTGAATAGTCCTATATCAAGAAGGAATTAGAAGCACTCATCATGAGTCCCCCCCAAAAAGCCCAGGGCCAGAGGGTTTCAGTGCAGAATTCTATAGGACCTTCAAAGTAGTGTTAACTCCAATTCTCTTCAAACTAGTCCACAAAATAGAAAGAGAAGGAACTTTACCAAACTCATTCTATGAAGCCACAGTCAACTTGACACCTAAAACACACAAAGACCCAACAAAAAAAGGAGAAACTCAGACCTAGCTCTCTTATGAACACTGATGCAAAAGTACTCAATAAAATACTTGCAAACTTAACCCAAGAACACATAAAAGACATCATCCACTATGACCAAGTAGGCTTCAACCCAGGCATGCAGGGGTGGTTCAGTATATGGAAATCTATCAATGTAATCCACCATATAAACAAACTGAAAGAGAAAAAAACACATGATCATCTCCTTAGATGCTGAAAAAGTATTTGAAAAAAATCCAAAACCCATTTATGTTTAAAGTCTTGGAGAGTTCAGGGATACAAGGCACATACCTAAACATAGTAAAGACAATATACAGTAAGACTATAGCAAACATCAAAATAAATGGAGAGAAAATGAAATCAATTCCACTGAAATGTGGGACAAGGAAAAGCTGCCCACTCTCTCCACATCTCTTCAACATTGCACTTGAAGTCCTAGCTACAGCAATAAAACAACTATAGGAAATCAAAGGGATACAACTCAGAAAGGAAGAAATCAAAGTATCACTATTTGCAGATGATATGACAGTATACATGAGTGATCCCAAAAATTTAACCAGAGAACTCCTTCAGCTGATAAACACCTTCAGCAAAGTGGCAGGATACAAAATTAACTCAAAAAAATCAGAAGCCCTCCTGTATAGCAAAGAAAAAAGGGCTGAGAAAGAAACCAAGGAAACAACACCCTTCACAATAGCCACTAATAACATAAAGGACCTTGGGGTGAATCTAACCTAGCAAGTAAAAGACCTGTTTGAAAAAAAAAAAAACCTTCAAGTCTCTGAAGAAAGAAATTGAAGAAGATATCAGAAGATGGAAAGATCTCCTGTGCACATGGATTGGTAGTGAAAATGGCCATCCTACTAAAAGCAATCTACAGATTCAATGCAATTCCCATTAAAATACCAACAAAATTCTTTATAGAACTTGAAAGAACAATTCTCAACTTCATATTGACAAATAAAAAACCCAGAATTGTCAAAACAACCCTGTATTACAACATATCATCTGGAGGTATCTCCATCCCTGATCTCAAGCTGTAATACAGAGCAATAATAATAAAAACTGCATGGTATTA